ACTTGCTGCATTTCATATAGACTGTAAATGTGACACAACAGTTTAACACAGCTTGAGTTTTGTGCTATAAGGCTGTTTTGACTTAATCATTTGTGTCTTTAGCCTGCTTTGACTTCAGTCCTAATTGCAGGTCTGCTTGACTTTATCTGACAATCAGACTTCAAAATGAAATAAAGAAACAGAAAAGCAGTAACAAAAGTAGACACAAAGCCTGCTTCTCTTTTGAAAAGAAAAAATAAATGACCCCTGCACCTCACATCCCTGCATGTTTTCTCAACTGTGGTAATTACGGACCCGTTTTGGTTTTTAAATACTCTGCACATAAATTGTGATGCTGGCACGGCAGCTCCTGTGCAGCTTATAAATGAAACAGACAGCAAAGCACTTCTTAGCTCAACATTTGACCCTGGCAGCCCAGATATAAGACACGGATTACTTTGAAAAAGAGCTTGTTGTGCTTTGCAGCTGCACGACAAACACTCATTCTGAACACAATGTCACTGAGGAAATCATATTAGATTTACTGTAGTAGTATCCGCCGGCCCTCACAGCTCTTCCTCCTTAATGACTTATTGACTGGAACAAGTCAGAAGTGTGTGCAGATAATTTGCTTTAAACAGGGAGGAACAACATGAAATGTAAGGTTTTCTTTTATTAGTTAGTTAAAAATGACACTTTTCCTGTTTCTGTATAAACACAAACAGACTGAGGTTTAATTATTCCCTCCACTGGTTTGTAATTAGAAGCCATTATCAGGTGCTGCAGCAGGGTTTGCCTTGGTTAATCAAGCCAAACAGATGAGTTCTAAACATCACCTTCCTGCCCTACATAGCCATTAAGAACCATTCAAATCATGCCCACAGGCCACAGAGGGACAGTGTGTAATGTGAAGATACTTCCCTTCATCCACAGAGGCTTGGCAGACTGAAACAACCCTCCACCAAACTGCAAATACATCCTGTTTCAAAATAAAATGCAGCCCCATTGTCATTTGAAGTGTGTATATTATTTAATTTGGGGAAATAACATCAAGGACAACAAGTGGACAACGAGTTTTTTTTCTTTTTACTATCATTGTCACAAAATAAATTCAGCTTCAGTCAAAAACTGTAACTTGGCAGGAGCTTTTATTTCAGCTCAGCTAGGACACATTCCAAATGTAAAGTCCTTGTAAAATGCAAAACTTGATTTCAATCCAGATTTTATTCAAAACTATAAAACACATCTGTAACAACAAAATAAAATGCTTACAAAATGTAATACTTTGATTCTACTACAATTAGTGAATTTATATATAAAAACCTATCAAGCATGCAAAGACTAAGCTATGCATACCACACTTTTACTTTTTAAAATTCAAGTTATTTAAAAGTAAAACATGTTAATTCAATTTACTTTTAAAAAATAACTTTTTCTACTTTTGCTATTCTGAGCTACAGAATGAGAAGTGGACAGGGTGTATAAAGACAAAAACAAATCCCAGAATGTCAAAGAAATCATCGAGATAAACGGGAAGACAGAAAATGATTTGGAATGTGTTCAAAATTCTTTAAATAACATTTGTTGAATATGCTGCATATATACACTTGATCAGTACAAAACCACTATTTTGGTAGGACTTCATAAAATACTGCGACAAACATTAACATAAGAACCAAATGTGTTCTGTGAGGAAAACTCCAGCAGTGTGTTTCTTCTGCGTGCTGTAATGAATGCTTTCTCACTGTCTTGCATCCTGTCTTTGTGTCTTTCTGTCCTTTTCAAAACACACTGGGTGAGAACGCCCCGAGGGAAGTGTCTCATTATCCTATTCTTTAATGAGAGGAAAAGATACTGAGAGGGAAAAAAAATGAAAAAAAATGTAGAAACTCGATGGAAGTCATTTGAAGGATGCAGAATAGTAGTCGGACCGCCCTGAGATAAACTGGGAAAACTATTGCGGACAAACAACGGTCATGCATCTACGAGCAGAGGTGTCCCAAACATCAAGGAGTCGGTTCCAGTTCTATTTAAAATCCAGATATGTATCTATTCTTTACTGGGATGCGTTGAACCTTGAATTATTCAGGCCTCAAAACAGTTTCTAGCACTCTCAAAGACACGAAAGCGCCATGTCTGTCCCCTCTTCTTGTCCTGCAGTTCTAGCATTGCTGCGGGTTGTTTCTGAAGCTCTCTTTTACTCTTCTGGCAGCGTCCCTAAGTGTCAAAGGGTCTGCTGTTTCTGCCAGGATAGTGCGCTCTGTACTGAGCCTCCATTTCCTCCATCCAGGCCATGCTCCAGTCCCACGCGGGAACCGGCTCCAAGTCCCCGAACGAGTCCCCTCCTGCGCCAAACGACGGATACAAGGCGCTGAGGGGGGAGGCTGGCGGAGAGAAGTCTAAATAGAGAAGAGGACGACATGTTGACATGCATTTCAATATGGAGTGGAGGGATTATATGAAAACAGAAACCTTCTTGCCTAAGGAGAAGGTAACAGAACGAGTAAACATTTCGAGACTTCCGAGGAGCACCTTTCACGCCGATTCTCTGGGGGAAAAGCAAATTTAGAAGCTTCTTTTAAGCAGCTGTCTGTCACTGGATATAAAAAACCAAAACAAACATTGCCAATTCACATTAGCCACGTTCTACATTCTAAAGCCACTGGCACATTTTAGAAACCTCACAAAGTGTTGCTGTCCAGGAATAATAATAGTTTTTTTCCGAGCTGAAGGGTTCGAGCTATAGAGGCCCTGCCAGTTAATGTGACAGTGTTTACATTGCGTCCCAGTCTGAAACAAGCCTGTGCCTGCGGCTCCACTGTTTTTATCCTTAAAGCCAGCACACTTCACCTTAGTGTGGACGGTTCTATCAGAGCTCTCATCTAGGTACATGTAAAGATGTTCTTAAAGGTCCAGTGTGTAACATTTAGGAGGTTCTATTGGCAGAAATGAAATATATTGTAGGCATATAGGTATGTTTTCATTAATGTATGATGTGTTTTTGTTACCTTAGAATGAGCTGTTTTTATCTACAGAGGGAGTGGCAGTCTGCCATGTTGAACCGCCATGTCCTTACAGGTAGCCCAAGAATGGACAACCCACAACACTGGCTCTAGATAGGGTCTTTTTTAGGAGTAATTACAGTGGCCACAAAAGTCCCTATCTAGAGCCAGTGTTTGGTTTGTCCGTTCTGTAGAAACACTGTAGAAACATGGCGGACTAGATAAATACAGCCATTGTAAGGTAATGAAAACACAATGATTCTTATTTTCAGGTGATTACTAATAAAACCATACCTTTGAACATTATATTCCATTTCTGACAATAGATCCTCCTGAGTGTTACACACTGGACCTTTAAAGCTGAAAAATGACCACAGCTCTGGGTCTGCAGGTTTCCATTAATGGGTAAGGAGTTCTGGGGCTTTGGATTCATATTATAAAACTTTAACATAAGCCACTGTGAGAAAGCATTATCAACTGCAGAGAAAAACACTTAGGGGTATTTTTTGCACGTTGCACTGCCGTATGTGTGAAAAATAGCTGAGGCAGAAAACAGCCAAAAGTGAGAGTTTGGCAAATGGAATAAAGCCGAATGTTGCCTGCAGAGGGAGAGCAGAGTGACTGATGAGGTGACACAGGAGGGTAGGATGACTCATCTGGAGGTTCAATTTGCTGAAAGGTCCTAAGTAATTGCCTGGTACCACATTAGATATTAGACTTAATGACTTTGTCTCTTATACCAACAGACACATGCACCACTGACGCAGACTGGCGGAAAACCTACTCAGACATGTATGTGCACACACTCTTATGTGAGCACACACACACATGCTAGAGATCAGTAAAAACCTCCAAAAAGGTTTTTTTTTCTTATATGGAATCTTTCTTATATGAAAATTTTTTTTAAAACCAACTTATACAAGTTTTGTAGTTGCTTGACAGATTTCCTTTAACCATTAGTCTGCCTACAGGGCCCCGTTACTAGATGGGATCATACATAAGTGGAGGGCCCCCTCTAGTGGAGGAACACAATACAATACAAGAGGACATGCACTGTCTGAGGATATTCATTCTTAAACATGTCACTAGCCTTCTTCTCAATTATTATTCTCAATAAAAGTGGTGATTCCCAACCACTGCAAGACAAATCTAAGTGCTCACAAGATGATTAAAGGTGCTGTAAGGAATATTTGTTGTTGGCCTGGTCAATCAACGCTTGTGATGTCATCATAGAGATGCCTGCCTGATATCTGTGCAACAAAAAAGGCCCATATTATACATGCTAAAATGTTGTGCAACCATTGAGCAACTTGGCTAACTCTTAGTACACCTGTGCAGGCTAATGTTATCTTGCTTCCATAATAAGCATACATGCATTTTAATATCATTATCATAATGGAAGACTTTGCTTTGCAAGTCATAGCTCTGGAATAAAATAGTGTCCACACCTGATTTTATGTCCTATGGAGACATTTTATATAGTATGATCAATTCTAGTAAAAAAACTGTTGTCCTGTTGAGGTTCAGGTTACATCCCGCTGAATGGGACAACACTGCCACCTGCTGTTGTAAATGTGTAACAACATTGGGCAGTAATAGCAGAGGATTAATTGTGATGCAGATCTGCTGTTACTACGAGCCTGAGCAGCTCTGGGAGATTGACGCACTGCAATGCTTCCTGTCTGCGCTAGGGGCGGCGATTGACTGGGTCAGCGGTGAGTTTTGGCCCCAAGGCGGTTGTTGTGCCAGGGTTATCATACAAAATGTTGATCTCAGGACAACAACCACTTAGAAAATTCAGGACATGCATAGGGCGTAAACACAGAATACATTTTCTGGTGTTCCATNNCTCAAGGGCAGACAGTAGAATCAGTGTGGTGATGGAGAGGAGGAAGAGGAGGAAGAGGACTGCTAACTGTAAGGATGGACATGAAGATTTCACAGCACCTTTAACAGAACTGTTTTTTTAATTTTTTTTTTTATTATGATCTACTGGAAATGAGATTTTTTTTTTCAAAGGCTGGTTTGATGTATCCTACTGAAAACACATGAGCCACACGGTTACACTGGGTAACATGTTCCTTTATTACCATGGACACACACTGTAGTTTCTGTCTGACAGCAGCTGCTTATGGCTGGTTAGCTTGGTTAGCTCCCATGTGATTCTCTCTGCTGTATTTTTAAATTTGCTGGAAGGAAAGGAGCTAGCAGATTTTTGTTACTAGATTTTACTGACTTACTTAAGATTTGGGAAAGGTCACATCTCATTTCCTCCTCTGCTTACCTGACAAGGAGGCTCCACTCATGGTCTCCGCTGCCACAGCAAGCAAGCGGGCGAAGTTGGTGCTGTCGTTAGTGTAGCAGCTGTCCACCGAGCTGATGAGGCTGGTGCGCGCGCTGGCCATGTTGCCGTCTGTGACTGAGCTCCAGGTGTTCCACAGTGAGCTGTCCCACTCACTGTAGCAGGAAGAAGGCGTGCTCTGGAGGCGGGCACGTCGCAGGCCAATCGGCGGTGCCTCGGGCTCGTCGGTTGCAGGGTCATCCTCCAGCTGAGCGGAGCGGACCGGCCCACAGATGTAGCCCAGGCTGGGGGAGAAGGAGTGGGTCAGGGAGGGACGTGGCTCAGGCAGGGCACTGCTGACAGAGAGTGATGGTCAGATAACATATGCTACAAACTAAAGATGGCAGGGAAAAACAAAAACCCTACATTGTATGAATATATACAAAAACATGTGCTAGAATGTTAGCCAGACAACCTGGGCCAAGTGAGCCTGTATCTCTCTCCCTCTGTATCTTTACCTGTATCTCTCAGGTTTAGGGCTGAGCTCCAGATACTGGGTGGCTTCGTCTGCTGTCAGTGTGCCACCCTGTTCGTCATCCATTGACATGGAATATGATGCAGTAGACAGGTGGCTGTAGGTGGAGCAGCTGTTGTTGTTGGTGGGTCCTGGTGGCCCACGGTGGCCTGATGCAGCACACACTGACTGGAGGGAGCCCGTGTCCACTGTTAGCTTTGTAGAACGACTGGAGCTGAGGAATATGCAAGAGATAGACGTGTGAGACTTGTTTGTCGGTCCCGCTTCCTTTTAAATGACAGGAATCCTTAATGTGTCCCCTGCTATGCTGACACACTGGCATGGTGTGACATTTTGGAAATATGCTTAGTGGCTTTCTATGCATATCACGTTTATGGATGGATGAATTCTGCATTGGGCAGCTGGACTGCTGAACTGTTGGGATCAACAATAACTTTAATTAAAAAAAGTTAATCCGCTTCAAAGTTGAACACAACATACAATTTATTGCAGTGGTTTATAAATTCCACTTTCTTTATGTGAATATAAATACTTCTCGGCTTGGTTCAGTTGAAAAGTGAACTGACTCCAATCTGTGGCTTGGAATAGACTGAGCTAATTTAGTAATTTTTCAACGGGTAAAGGGATTATTAAAGATCCCCTCCAGACATGTAATAAGACATATATAAAAAGGGTCTGCTTGGAACAATAATGAATAATGTGTATCTGTTTTTTCCACAAAAAAGTATAATTTCTACAATAAAATCTGTAAAAAGTCATCTTCTCCTTCTACCGGACCTTCTACGTCTGAGCAATAACAGCCCCAGCTTTCACCTGTGACTGACAACATTCATTTTATTTCAAAGTCACCCAAACCATAATGCTCTTCTGCCATTGTATACTTGGACTTTCTGACACCCTCTTAGCAGACTTTCAGGGTCATCTATCTCCAGTACTCATATATTGGTTTGGCAACACAGAATACTAGCCTTGTTCCACTGTGTTTTTAACTCACAGATACGTATGTCTGCAAAAAAGATCTGTATCATTTTTTGTGTGGCCATTTCTTGGGCCTCTCAACACGACAAAACATACTCAAAGGAAGGAAATTTAGGTCATGTCAGAGCAATGAGGCATTAGGAAGACTCCAACATGACAGGATGTACTGCAGACTGTATGGAGCCAGGCGTGTGAACATAAAGTATGGGCTACTGCATATATGAAAGTTCTGTAAGACATGTAACACTAGCAAGCACATTGGAGATCCTTAGGGAGCAGTGTCTGTCTAAAAGCCCAACACAATGTCCTCCACAGACATTAATAGGTATGATAGTCCAGCACTAATACATCTGATTAGCCCTACTGTCTGTTATCTTCCATTACACTTCTTCTTCATGGGACCTGCAAGATAGCGCCTGTGGTTGCTAGAAAGTTACTGGTGCTCCTTTT